TTTAGCATGAGAGTTCACTCATTTAAAAAAAAAAAAGCCTAGAGAAATGTTTATCAGTTCCTAATCCAGTGGACATGAAGCTGTCAATTATATCACTATATCAAACCTAACATATGTGATATCTAGCTTCCAGACCCAAAAAAATATCTCAACCTATAAATTATCACACAGTAAACAGAAATGTTGTACTTGGACCAACTTTCACTAGTTTCATAATCAACAAGACTAGTTACCTCGCTTAACAAGCCTCCGCCACAGCCCACGTCCAGTATTCTGAGGCCACTCAGAGGTTTACCCAACTGCCGGACTCCATGCACGTTCAACAAATTATCCCTGAAAATAAGGTCAAAGGTCACAAAATTAGATTAAGGAGGTGTACTTGTCATCTCGATTGTGCAGAATTTTGAAACAAAGACATCAGGTCTGACGTAAAACAGAAATGTGAAGCTAATCACAGCCATACATGCAATATTTGACTGTGCTTCCTGAGTCAGAAACACTTCACACTGCTAGTCCCTCTAGCTAAAACACAAGCCTCTGACATCCTGAAGCAATCGCACATCCTCAAGATCTTCCCCAAATGCTTGGACAGGCCTTGCAGAGCAATGCAGCCCGAGGTGCTCACTGCCACTCCTGTTAACTCAGCCCATCTGTGCCAACAAACCACAATGTCTCTGAAGGATTCCCCTGCTGGACCTCCAGAGAACTCATATTCCTCAAGAAGAAAATAATGACCTGCAACAGCACTGAGGCCGCTCATTTAAACAGGCCCCGGGGGCTCCACCGTGTCCATATATGCTGCATATACTCATCACCGATAAACCTGATCCCGTGTTCAGGGAAGGGGAAGAAATTGTGCGCTGGATGATTCCAGGAAGCGAGGGGAAAAGCTTACAGTGACAAGCGCAATATCCATCTTGACTCTTACAGAAACAGCTGAGAGACGAAGCAGAGCTGGATAATCTCTAGCTGCTGTCCTCGCCATTACCTGGACATGATGAGACAGAAGCTTCTTTTTTGCATCTCTGGACATGCCCTTTCAATGAGATTAACTCTTTAATTTTAATTTTAATTACTCATAAAAAATTAATGATCACAAAAAATAAATTATAAAAAAAAAGGGTCAAAATCTTCTTTTTTTAGGCTGTTTGGACAGAACTGTGTGTAGGTATAGTGTGTCCACAGTCATATTGGGGTAATAGAAACACAATAAGTCTTTTAATAATTTCCTGGAATTAAAATAGAATCCAAATCCCTCCTATTTTAGGGCCCACCACAACATAACGCAAGAAAGGCTAGAATTAACTCCACAACAACTACATCAAATAATCATTGGGAAAGTTCTTGCTGTAGAATTTCTCACACACATTACATGAAATCTGCTTTTACCTTCTTGCCTGTTACTGTGCTGATTATCTGACACAGTCGGAGGTTGAGGCACACTCTGAAAGGCACGTGGGAACGGTGGGCTGGAAGAACTAGCATTAAAGGCCCAGGCAACAAAAACAGCTATTTTGTGTTCAGATCAGTAAATCTCAATAAGTAAAATATGTTACATAACATACTATTAACAATGACCATTAAATTGATTAAAAGTGACAGTGAAACATTTGTATTTTTACAAAAGAACCCTCTGTTTCAAATAAAGGCTTTTCTTCATAAATCCAGATAACACAAATATAAGGTGTTGCACATCTGTTGTTAGTAATAATAAATGTTTCCTGAGCACACAGTAATAATAATACTAAAGATTTGGCTTTGACATCCAAAGAACAAGTACCCTCTAAATGGCATGCATATATATATATATATATATATATATATATATATATATATATATATATATATATATATATATAGTTGAAGTCAGAATTATTAGCCCCCTATGAAATTTTTATTCATTTTTATTTGTTTTCGATAGTCTAAAGAACAAACCATCATTACACAATAACTTCCCTAATTACCTAACCTACATAGTTAACCTAATTAACCTAGTTAAGCCTTTAAATGTCACTTTAAGCTGTATAGAAGTGTCCTGAAAAATATCTAGTAAAATATTTTGTACTGTCATCATGGCAAAAATCAAATAAATCAGTTATTAGAAATGAGTTATTAAAATGCATTGAAAAAAAAATCTTCTTTCAGTTAAACAAAAATTGGGAAAAAAATAAACAGGAAGGCTAATAATTTTGACTTCAACTGTGTATATATACACACACACTCACATTAATATTACAATACATTCATTCATTCACTTCGGCTTAGTCCCTTTATTAATCAGGGGTCGCCACAGCGGAATGAACGGCCAACTTATTTAGCATATGTTTTATCCAGCTGCAGCCCATCACTGGGAAAATACATTCATTCATTTACATTAAAATAAATCGATTTGTATTACATTTTCACTAAGTTACTTTCTGTTTTTGTTTAAATATAACACTGTGATAGATCACCCAAAAATGAAAATAGCTGAAATGTACTTTTCTTCAGGTCATCTAAAATATCAAAGACTTATTACTTAATGTTATTCAGTAGAACATTTCAGATTTTCTGTTTATATCAGTTCAGAGGGTGAGGTAATCATTCATTTGTCCTGTAATTTTAAATACTTTTTTGGGAGTTGAAGATAGTAACCCATATTTTATTTTATAGCCAATATTTAATGCAAGTAACATGCTAAAAATTTTACAAATAGGTCCACGTTTATTTAAAAAAATTTAACAAAAAAAAAAAAAACTTGCTGATTTTAATGGAAAAACAATGCCATCCCAGCACATTTGCTAGCAGATGAGGCGATAGACAGATGTACACACCGTATGAAAGGCACTCTCAGGTCATTCATAGAGTGGAGGGCTGAAAGCTCTCCCTGGAGATCCCACCACTTGCTCGCCATGGCCTGAAACTTCCGCACCTCGGCGGGGTCCAGAGTGGACTGAGAGATCGAGCGGACATTGAGGCGGGTCAGTCTGCAGGTCGAAACTATCGTTAAAACCTTTAAACTATGCATACGTCTCTTGTAAACAAAAGATCTACCGAGTAAACCAGAACCTCTACTTTATTAAGAAAAACAGTCATGCATTAAATCGCAGTACTCGTTAAGTCGATTAAATCAGTCTCACCCGTTTGACAGCTGACTCTTCTGTCGGTGATGCAAACACACCGTCCAGCTGCACAGAGAGCGCGCTGCTTTTACTTTGGAGGACACGTTTTGTATTAAAGGTATTTTTAACCCCGAGTCAGCTAACAGTCCAAAAGCTAATCGTGTAAATTTCTTAGAGTACATCTCTGCATTTTAATGCGTTACGCGAATCTTTGTTTATCGCCGACTTCAGTCAGTAAATCCTATGTGACCGTGGAGTGCTCGCCGAAATTCTGACCGAGCAGAAAATCAACACGGAATCAAACGTTCCTAGCACGTTTATTTAAAAAAAATCATTTTTAATATTAGATATGCTTTAAACGCACCCACAACATACATAAAGTGACACCAAAACATATTTTTTTATGTTTAAAAATGTTATTGCTATTTTAAACATGTAAAACGGCTGTGGAAACTTCCATATAGTTCACAAAATCAGTCTGCATGACTTGTTGACGTGCAAGTTACGAGTCATAGAAACTCGTCATAAAACTATGAATATGAACCCGTTTAGTTTACTCTCAACTGCTAACAACTTTCAGCTGAACTGGGTAGAGTTCTTAACAATAATGCGTGGTGAACAATCATATGTAATCCATAAAAGGTAATTGTAGTCTGATTAGGAGCAGTTTAACGTTCTTTTATTACAAGAGTCTACAGACATCATCCAAATGACAAATAATGAAATACTATTCAGTTCTTACTTGGACATATTTACCCAATAACGAAAATGTACACCACATTTACTCTACTTCAAATGGTTCCAACACTTGACTTTCCTTTTCTGTTGAACACAAAATATATTTTGATAAATACTAGAAATCTGTAACAATAGACATCCATAGCAGGAAAATCAAATACTTTGAAAGTCAATGGTTACAAGTTTCAACATTTTTCAAAAATAACTTAGTGTCCTAGAGATAAAAAAAAAACTCACTTTTTTTTTTTTTATACAAGGGAAGGAAGAATCCATGGCATCTTTTAATTTCTTATGTGAACAATCACTTTAAATATGTTATATTTAATATTTATATCCATGACATACACAGTACAAGATGTAGTATAGTTCTAAAGCAAAGATGCCCAAAGTAAGGCCCATGGGCTTAAGTTGGCCCATTGTAACCTTTGATTTTTCCAGCCACCACATTTGAGAAGAGTGAGAACTTTGGAGAGGGTTGAGGCAAATGCCTTTAAAAGACATTGACATTTTGAATATTTTTGACATAACCAAACTGAAATTAAGTGTTTCAATTAAACATTGAAAACAAATCAGATTTTTTTTTTCAACATGTAAAAATACTGTCACTCCACAGGCTATGAAAAAGACATCAGCAAACAAAACACGGGAAAAACTAGAGTAACTCCATTCTGTCATAAATGAGATGACTGTTTTTACTCTAAGTTCATTATAAAATGTCAAATCAAATAATGCTGTATTAGTTACTGAAAAAGCAATATTTTTTAGTTATTTTTAAAAATATGATTAAATAAATTATTAAATTACCCATGGCAACTATATTTACCTTCAGCCTGCTAGTCTCAATCAAGTCTGGCTTTTGGCCCTTCATAAGAAAAGTTTGGGCAGTCCTGTTCTATAGAGTGTACGAGAGATGTTTATAGTGCTTTTATTCATGTTAGTTTTATTATGAAAATAATCTTCAAAATGCATATTTGGCATTCCATGGGGAAAACATCACACACTATAGAAAGAAGTCATATTAACTTACTAAAATGTTTATGCAAACAAAAAATTTTATATGGTTTAAAAACTAAGTATATCTTGGACTTAAGAAGATTTTCATGTTCATCTAGCACCTGGCATTTCAACAAAAAATCCTTAGAAAAAAAAAGACAGGCCATGTCAGACAGAAAGAATCATTCTTGTTTTATTGGACAATTTACATTAAACGAGAATTTATTTCCTCTGGTGTTAGGTTTTAAAATGTTACAGTTTCAAGCTTCTATTGACTACTTGAACGCTTGCATAATACAAGGCAAAAAAAGAAACTTTAGTTCAAAATCTCCTGTTTTGAAGACAACACTTAAAAATAGCACATATTTACAAAATGAGGGGAGTAGGGGAGGTTGGAGTGGAGAGTTCACCTACAATGTTGCCTCGATAATGAGACAAGCCTGTTAACTCATGGAATTTTAAAAGAAGTGCACAGATCAAAGGCTGAATACCCCTCAACGCTTGCGGCGGCTGGGAGACGTTGACCTGAAAGAGAAAGGTGCGACAGACTATTAGTGCAATCACTAGCACAGATCCCATCCAGAACTTCATACACACACCTTAAAGAGCTGTTGGAGCAACACTAAATGAGGAGGAGGAAATTACATCAATCTCAGTAGCACCATTTGTAGACAACTCTGTTTTTAAATATTCAACATTATGTGACTGTGGATTTAAATGTTAAATTAAACAATATGCAACTATGCCATTGGAAAATCAATTCATCATTCACACAAACATTCAAACATTGTTTTAAAAAAGTAAAAAGAAAATGAATACTACCTTGATCGTGACTTAGACTTGTGTTTGCGGCTTGCCTTCTTACCAGACTTGTGAGACCGTTCCGTAGACCTTGATCGACTACGTTTAGATTTCTTAGACTTTTTTTCTTTGCTAACCTCAGGGGAAGGCGACCTGCTCCTGCTAGACTCTGAATCTGAGTACTTTTTGCTAGCTTTAGTGGAGCCTTTCTTGCTAGATTTGCTGTCTTGCCGGGAATACTTGTCATTATGGGAATCTGTCTTCTCACTCTCCTTTTTCCGCCTTGATTTGCCATAATCTTCCTCATCCCTTACTGAACTGCCCTCAATCTCCTTCTCCTTTCCCTTCTGCTTGTCTTTCTTTTTATCTAATTCCTTCTCTTTCTTCTTCTTTTCCTTCTCATGGCTCCGGCTTCTCTCTTTCTTCCTGTCTCTGTCCCTGCTGTCCTTCTGTTTCCGCCTGTTGCGGCTCGTACTGCGACTGCGTCTGCGGTCCCTGCTGCGCCTCCTCTCTCTGCTGCGGCTGCGACTGCCTTTAGATCTGCTCCTATGGCTCCTGCTGGACCTGCGCTGCCGTGAGTGACTGCGCTTTCTGTGTCGAGAGGAGCGTTCGGTGCTGCGTGTGCGGCTGCTCCGCCTCCTGTCTCTGCCCTTGTCCCGCTCTGACTGACGCCTGCGAGAGCTGCGACTTCGGCTGCGTCTGCGAGTCCCACGAGAGGCGGAACGACTGCGTCGCCTTTTTCTTTTGGGAGAGGAGGAACGGGAAGAGCTGCGAGAGGAGGCTGAGGAAGAGGAAGATGAAGAGGACCGGCTGCTGGAAGAACTGGAACTGGATGTGCGACTGCGGCGCTCACTCGGCGAGGGGCTGGCACTGCCTCCGTTACGCCCTGTGTGCTCTTTGCTTGTCCGCTTGACCTCACTGACCTCAGGCTCACTACGTGATCTGCGGCGCTCTACTGTAGGCTCCGCCTCCCTTTCCCTAACTTCCTGTTTGTGTTTAGAATCTGTCTGCTCATCCTCATAACCTGTCCTTTCTCTGCTCACTCGGTCTGATGCCAAATCATCTGAAAACACACACAAACTGAATGTTATTGTATACATTTTTAAAAGAAGCTGGATAACTGTTATTTTTTAACTATTAAAAATATGGTTATGAAGTAAATTTATTATTTTAAGATGTGTCAAATTGACCTTAAGCTTCAACTTTGAACAACATAACCAAAGTTTTCAACTCAACTTTTATCATCGAATTATGCAACTCCATCCTCGTTTTCCGCTTTGCAGAAATCATCTATGTAATTTGCTACTCACAAGCTGTTGGTTTATACAAGGGGTCACCAAACTTGTTCTTGGAGGGCCGGTGTCCTGCAGATTTTAGCTCCAACCCTAATCAAACACACCTGAGCAAGCTAATCAAGGTCTTTTTATGTATACTTGAAACATTCAGGCAAGTGCGTTGAGGCAAGTTGGAGCTAAACCCTGTAGGGACACCAGCCATCCAGGAGCGAGATTGATGAACCCTGGTTTATATGATCAGACCCCCTAGTTTTTTACCAATTTTTGTGCCCGGGGCTCTCTCCCATTTAAGGGTGAGAGGGGAGTTTGAGCTCAGGTAGGTCTCAAGAACTCCCCTGCTTTTGAATGTGTTAGGAATAGCTGAGATATAGCTGGCTAAGAGTTTGTCTTAAGATGCTACTTTGGAGTAGTCAATTTACTTATGAGGCATGTCTTTGGACAGTGGGAGGAAATTAGGGAACCTGGGGAAAAACCACACGAGCACAGGGAGAAAAAGGCAAACTCCACACAGAAACATCGACTGGCCTGGTGGGGGGTCGAACTGGTGCTGTTCTTGCTGTGAGGCATCAGTTCTAACCACTGGTTCACCATGTCACCCAATGAGAAGGGGAGGAGTAGGAGTGGAAGGGGTGGAATCTTCAAGACAAAGATGACTGAAGTGGAAAACTCTGGTTAATTATAGGAAGTCAGTTTTCATCTGATTGGCGAAATATGCAGAGCTGATGCGGGACCAGCAGTGCACAATCATAAGCATGTTCCTCTTTTAAATTAGTTTATAAATAAACGGTAAAAAATTAAAACGGTAGGGATTAGGCTTAGTTTCTTCTAGATTTCACTCCCCAGAGCATCTGACATCATGCACCTCACAAAGGACATGAGTTAGGGCTTACCCTACTGTAATACACCTAAAATATGGATTGCCGTAAAACTAGTCAGTGACAGGGAAGCGTTTTCTCTAGTCAAAAGCAGGGAGAGTTAAATGAAACATTTATCAATTTTATGCACACCATAATACCAGCCATACATTTAAAGCACAATATATACAGCCATACATTTAAAGCACAAGCATGTCTCTCAATTTAGTCATGTCCAGCGGCCGTTATACTGCAGTCATACATTCACACCACAGAATGTCTAATCCAATCTTTGCATTGACTACACATGTAAATTACTCACGCTTCATCCGCATTTGCTTACTGCAAAGGCTACTCAACTTTACCCCCCACTCCTATGTAATGTAATAATTTTGAGGGAACAGGTGAGACGTCATTTTTCGAGAGGCACTCAAATACATCACATGCACTGTGTATGCAACTATAAATCGTATAAAATCATTGCAAACCGAAATAAATAGAATTTGATTACATTGTGTGGAATTGAATGTTTTAAGAGATTTACATTTTTGTGGTAATTTTGCAGGATCGTGAAACTTTGTTGATCTTGCGTTGGATTCAGCGATTGTAAATCGCGAAAAATTAGGGGGTCTGTATGTTTAACAAATGTCATTATCACAATGGAAATGTTCATGCTTCTAGAAGTTCTCTGGATGTACCTACCCTTAACAGTTTGCATCTCCAGTGCCAGCCTCTCCTGCAGCTGCTGCTGCTCCCTCTCTTTACGACGGAAGGCATCCTGCTTTTGGCGAATACGGTGCAGCAACTCCTCATCGTCTGTGTCCGATGAGTCCGACCCCTTTAAGCTTCGCTCCTCATCATCACTCTCATCCGAGCCGTACTCACCCAGCCCTCCTGCGACAACAAAGCCCCCCACTTATAACAAACAGCAAGAGCAATGCACTCAGTCGCACACTAACACTCCTTCCTTACTTACTTCCTACACAATACATCACTAAAGCCTACCTTAATTAATGAAGCATGCTTTTTTTTTTTAATCATCTATAAACTGATGCTGGAGGCTAACCATTTGAGAAGATCTGCAGCTTGAGCTCTTGAGCTTGCAACACAGTTCATTAGAGAGCTGATAACCCACCCAACCGACCAACCAACCACCCTTTAATTCCCCTCGGTCCAAAATGTAAAGACACTTACCGAGGCCGGTCAGAGAAGCCAGTGCATTTGACTGTGCCAGCTGTTTTGCAGGAGCTTTGATTCACATCAACAACAGGAACAACATGTTAAAACACATACAGCCACCACTTTCGCATAGGCAAGAGTCTCTAGAGATGAGGGTACACATATGCACTATTCACAAGAGCTGCCTTCGGCAAAATAAATTGAAAATAATAAGAAAAAAAGATGGAGAGAAGAAAAAGGTTATCACACAAAGTCTGTCAAACAAAGGCAAACAGTGGATGAGAAAACCAGTCTGTACTAATGCAGTGTCACTTTCCAAATGAGAAGCCATCTGGCAAAAAGTAGTGAGGAAGTACTTTTGTTTTACAGGAAGTAAATCTAAGAACAGATTTGATTAGGTACCCTTTGAAAGATTGCATTTAACTGCATCTACGTGACCATTTCACCCTCCACCCTCTTGCAGTTTGTTTTTCGTCTTCCGTTGCATTAGCAGAGAATGGCCATTGAAGAATTTCACTTTGGCTTATTTTAAAAGTTACCAAGGTGCATCAGTCAGACAAAAAAGCCGTTGTATTTATATAGTCAAAATATAACCAAGTATAATTGCTGTGGAAATCTGTCTCTTCCTCAGAATTAAACTTGAAGGCACAGTTGCATGGACAGAAGGGAACAGGAGCAGACCTTTAGTGGCTTTGCGATGAGCCTCTTTGGCCACTTGGATGATCTCCTCATTGGTGACTTCGAGGAGGACTTCGGTAAGAAGAGTTTTAGTCATAACCATCTGTGGAAAGCAAACAGAAATGGTTGAGATGAACAAGTGTGGATAGTTGTATGCTTATGAAATGAAACAAAAAATGGTGTAAACAGACCAGCTGAAACTCTTTCTCCTCATCTGTCATTTCTGGTTCACTTTGGTCTTCTTGAAGAGGAGGAGGACTTCTACCACCAAATTCCAGCCTCCTTCCTGATACGCCATCTTCCACAGCACCATCCTCTTCACCATCCTCATCATCACTGTCCTAAATTAAAGAGGAGCAGGTGATTGGACCAGAGACCAGATGCTTGTGGATGACATTAGCGCCGAGAGGAATTTATAGTGTTAGTGTGCAACAGCTCAGGGCAATGTAACTAAGCTTAATAGATTCTACCACAGAGGTGTCCAAACTCAGTCCGGGAGGGCTGGTGTCCTGGAGAGTTTAGCTCCAACCTTAATCAAACGCACCTGAATCAGCAAATCAAGCTCTTACTACATATACTAGAAACATCCCGGCAGGTGGTTTGAAGCAAGTTGGAGCTAAACTCAGCAGGACACCGGACCTCCAGGACTGAGTTTGGACATCCCTGCTCTAGGAAATCAGTTGTGACTCCATCCATGTTGGATAGTTCATGCATACAAGTTAACAAACAACTTTTAGCAGATATACTCTGGTGTTCATACAATTAGGGTTGGCAAGACTTTCAATGTTTTTGAAATTATTTTCTGCTCAACAAAGTTGTATTTATTTCATTATCTAATATTATTACAATTTAAATCAATTTTCATCAATTTAAAACAATCGTTTTTTTATAGTTACACAATAATAACAATTTTCAATGGCAATTATTAATTTTCAGCAGCCACTGCTCATCTTCAACTTTTTTTTGAAAGCTGAAATTAAAACATTTTTGAAGCATTATTTGATGAACAGGATCAGATTTATATAGTAATTAAAATTTTTACTAATCGCTTAATTTAATGCAGCCCTCACTGAATTAAAGCACTGCTTCAATTTAAAACATCAATATTGTAAAGAAACTCGTCGGGTCATTCCATGGGGTCTTTGCATTACTAAGTTAACAATAACATGTCAATGAGCATTTGTGCTTGTCAGAGAACCCTGGGTCAACAGTTGCCAAAGTAACCTCCGCAGGTTCCTGCGCTGTAAACAGGTTTTAAAAAAGATGCTTACAAATTTGCTCTTGCGTGGCAACCGAGGCCCATCACCTTCCTCCTCTACTATATCGCTATCCCTTTCATTATTTGCCATTTCAGCACGCTCCTTTTCCATCCTCTCCCTCTCCATCTTTTTCTGCTTCTCACGATCCATTTTTTCAAGGCCTTCTCGAATCCATGCAGGCAAGGTTCTTCGTTTAACAGCATCTAGAGCAGGAATCAAGACAACATTCTCATGTGCATCATTTAAAAACAGCAGGTCTTCCTACACATCTACATGATGAAAATGCATATTCACCAAGAGTGGGCGTCGTCTCTGGTTTTATTGCCATCTGATTGGGAGATCTGGGCCGTTCTGGCCTAAAGGCAGGAAGCCGGTCTCTTCTGTTCTGCGGCCCATCAGGCCAATAAGGTGCATGAAACCCGGTGGATGGTGGCCCATATGATGTCCCCGTTGGCGCTGCCCCATGCTAATATGAAATACAAGTAAATGTTAATAAAACAGAAGTTTGAAGATCGGAAGTACCTTTTTGTAATCCAGACCAAAGCAAGCATACCTGATAATCAAACTGATTGACCCCAATTGGGCCTATAGAATAAGGCTCAGGCTGACTCCCAAATCCATGGCTGTTTTGAGGAAAGCCTCCATGGCGTGTTTCTACCGGAAAATCCAAACTATCCTGGCTGTTACTGTCTTCTGAGGGGTTGACAACATCCATTGGCCCTTGACCTGAAGGAATCCATGCTTGTTCTGGAGGAGGGGGAGGTGGTGGCTGGCTATGCATTCCCCACTCTAGAAACAATCATAATAGAAATGCATTGAAATATAGTTTGCACTAAATAAAAATAAAAATTACTGTAATACATCATCACAATGTTAAATAGAGTGGTCATTTTTAAAGCATCATTCTTCAGCATGAAGCAAACAAAATCACACCATTCCTTCAGATAGTGTGTGTTTGCGGTTTAATGTTTACAGACAACACATTGCATTTAGTCATCCAAAATTTGGAAATTGACATTCGGTGTCTGCATTCCAGAAATCATAAGACTGCAGATTCATGCTGACTAAGTCATGTGACACAAACAATGCAACCAGGAATGCATCTCAAACTGGAATATCTCTTAAAATTGTCTATGGTCTCTCACCTGGTTGCCAACCTCTGCCAAAACTTGGATCGCCTGGAAAGGCACCATGGTTATTATGGGCTGGAGGCTCCATGTTTGGCATCTCCTGGCCATTGGGCTGAATCCCTGGCTGATCAGGAACTCCAGTGGATTCCTTCTGTGCAATCCATGCTTGTGCTAAAGCAGCCCAGTCCACTTGACCTGCGAAAACAAACCGAGAAAACGTGCACTGAATTGAGCAGTTCAAATGATTATACTACACGTTAGTGCTGTCAGATAATTAAAGCATTCTAACCTGGATCTTGCTGATGCTGAAATGACTGCATCCACTGCTGCTGTGAGCCCAGGGGCCACTGAGGCCAGGGCTGTCCTCCCTGATCCCACATCTCTCTCCTCTGAATCCTGTGCCACAAACATACATGTCAAATCGTGCAAAACACAAACATTTTATTTGCAAATGACTGCAAATAAAACTATATTACATCATTTGGCTAGCTATTTCCTTTTAAGGGCTTTAAAAACAAGCCCAGCTTTCCCACTGAGGGTCGACGCAGCTGTAATGTAACCCGCACAGCTGCACTTCCAAAACACACCAAAGAAAACGAACCACTGCAAAACACGTCTAGTATGATTTAGGAGTTCCTTAAATGTTTTCTGGGTGATTTACAGCATCTTTCTGTGCATTCACCTTCTTGTACTTTACTAAATACAAGTATACCTTAAATGAAATCGACACAAGCGTCGTCGTAATGCTAGCTAGCTAGCCCAGCGTTAGGCCGCACGTCTACACATCAACACGTACTTTAAACTTTTTTCCGCCGGTTTACTTGCTCGAAATGAACTAGCTAACTTATCGCTGCAGACGATGTCAAAGCGAAGGGCAGAAATTCGATGGAGTACGAGGAAGATTTACAAACACGTTGCGATATCTTACCTCTTCACTTCTGCTTCTTAGCAGTAAAATGGCGATGAAATGATGACCCGGAAACAGTGGCGGCATCCGTGACCTCAACCCACAGGCCCTCTAGCGGATACACACGGGACACTTCAAGGCCAGATTAATGACAATAACAAACACTGTACCATCATTTAATATTATCACTATCCCGTAATTAAATTATTTGTTATCCTCTGGATAACCAAAAATCCTAACTTTTAATGTAGGCTGTAGTAAAAAAAAAAACAGTAAGAAATGTTGTCAAGTATGGTACTGAATCAGGTGTTCACAACCTGTTAACCTTTTCAGACTTCTGTAATGACAGCTTATTTTCAAACTGGTCATTTACACAAAAATATAGAATGAAATAGCTTAAATTATTAAAAAATAAGACTGAATTTAAAAGCATTTTCTAATCATTAACAAACAAGTACCAAACATAACAGTTTAGCATTTTTTTGATATAGCTACTGCCTAGCAAACTAATTTTGGAGCCCGAACTATATAGGAGTATGACAGCCATATCACCCTGCAGCCCGAGACCGGTTACTCACTGAAGCGAAGCAGGTCTGAGCTTGGTCAGTACCTTGATGGGAGACCACATGGGAAAACTAGATTGCTGTTGGAACTGGAAGTGGTTAGTGAGGCCAGCAGGGGGCGCTCAACCTGCGGTCCGTGCGGGCGCTAATGCCCCAGTAAAGTCATCGTGGTAATGAGACGTTCTCTCTGTGGTCATTAAAAATTTCATGGCACTTCTTGTAAAGAGTAGGGGTGCAACCCTGGTGTCCTGGCAAAATTCTCTCCCTTAGCCCTTACCCTTCATGGCCTCCCAATCAAACCAATCCACCGAATTGGCTGTATCAATGTCTCTCCACTCCACCTAAAGACCATTTTGAGGGATGTAAAAAAAAAACAATGGTGCCATGTATTTCCTGTCTTACATTTTTAATTCTATAGCTTCAGAGAATCCCAAAAAGAGCCATATATAATGTTATGATCGCTGTTTTAATGTCAAGTTGAACTGCCACATTTAACAGTTAGGAAAAATAAGCAGGAAATGTTCATGGACCACAATCAAATGGTCTATAGTTGGTGTGTGGTTAGCACAGCAGTTGTCCTGTCCCCCAATCCACCCCACGACCCCTACAGTCCTCCATCCCTCCCTCATGATTGTGAAGTGCTTCGGGTGTATTGCCATACCAGTAAATGCACTATAAAATAAACACATTCCATTTTTCTAGAACCCACAAACGAATGCTCCCAGAGTAATCAGGAAGTTAGCTAGGTAATATTTGAAAACCGGTATGTGAGCAGAACCTTATTTTCTCAAAATGTTATCTGTTGGCTAGCCAGGAAAAGATTTATTTATTTTTTCTGAAATGCAATGTTCTCTCTACATTCAGATAACTATCTTTAAGATACTCTTTAATGTAAAAAAGAAGAAGATAATAAACAAAAACCTATCTATCACATTTTTTAGTTATTGTAAAACCATGGTTGACCTTCCTGGCAAAAGTTCTGAATTTATTATTGCCGTACCAAAGCATTTAATCATCCTTAAATCCATCAACAAATTTACTGGCATGATGGCAAAATAATCCTGAGGCTGAATGTTTGCAAGGACTTTACATTCACACAAATCTCTGTGTTTGACACTGCCATCCACTAAATTGGCTCTATCACTGTCTCTTCACTCCACCAATAGCTGGTGTGTGGTGAGCGCATTGACGCTGTTGTCCAGCGGCTGCCTTCACATTATCCAAGTGGATGCTGGACACCAGTGGTGGTGTGGAGAGACTCCCCCTCCATGATTCCCCCTCATGATTGTAAAGCACTTTGGGTTATGGCCAAACACAATAAATGCAATCTAAATACACATGACATTACATTACATGTCTAGTTACTCGATACTGGCTACAGTAGTCATTTTGGTCAAAATTAATAAGGTAATAATAAGAAATTGTACAGTGAATTGCTAACATTATTTTTAGTAAGACTGGGTCTCTTTAGAATGATAACAATTGCTCTAAATGGATAATGAACTTATTAGATGAGCTTACATATGTTAAATCAGGACACTACCAGGAAAGTGCCTTTAGAAAGCTTCATTTAAAATTGATTGACAGATTTTTACCATTTTTTTTATATGAAAAGAAATTGCCTTATTATTGGAACACTGAAATAAACCAAAAAGAGATTCAAAGCTTAAATAAAAGTGGCCAATAACATCTTAAGATATATTGAAACAAGCATACTAGACTATCTAGTAGTCTATTGTGAATGTCTACGAGACAAAAAAAAAGTGGTGTATGTGAAAGACACACCACATTGTGTCGACGTTAAAGTGAGCAATTCACTACCAACCACACACTGAACCTGAATCTTGTGTGGAATGAAGGAATTTTGAGGACAAACTAAGAATATGTAAAGCAGCCGAGAGTTGAATACCGCAGACATTTCAGATAGCCTGGCATCTTCAACACATAAAAGCAAATGCATGCATACAGTAGGACTGGTTCAAAACCAGGACCTGAGATGTAAATCTTTAAAAATGAGCTTTGATATCCAACCCATCCATCATAACAGATTCCTATCACAGACTTCCCTTTTCTGGTGTCCAGAATTCACATACAGCTGCCACCCCAAACAGACATAATCGCATTTACAAGACTGACAGAAGGGGTTACATGTTGTCAAGTAACACAGCTAGGTCAAAAAAGATAACAAGCATTCTCTCTAACCACTTGTTATGTCTGCCCTGAAGGTATAAATAAAAACATTTCTACCCCGTTATGTCTGAACGTCTCTGTTCACATTCAGCGGGTTCTTTAGCAAGCAGAAGCAGCTCAACCCGTCCCTCACATCAGGTTTTTCTGTCAGTTCAGACTGAATCTATCATTAGCTCACATTAAATCACAGGCACAACAACATTCCTGAATCAGAGCCCTGCTTTAAAGGTTGCACTCTCTTGTTGTCTTTATCGTTGGTTGTAACTGATAACTGTCTAACAGCTTGACTTGAATGTCAGAGAATGAGAAGAGGACGGGATCGTTTCGGACGTTGCCCTTTTCTGAATTCCACACCCACCTTCTCTTCACCAGTCAACGACATGGTTGAAAACAGCACGCCTTTGCACCCGTCACAGCAAATCGAAGCAGTGGACATAGTGAAAATGGCATCCTGGGATTTGTGGCGACAGCAGAGACTAATGGCCGACCACATCTCTTGTAAAAGAGAGAGAAGGCACAGAGTGCAAAGCAATTCAGTATAGCAATGAAGCCATTCCAAAAGGTTTTCATCAATTAATTGTATTTAAATTGTCCTTTTAAATGAGATTATATTCACAAAATTCAAGCAAAAGAACAGCTTGAGGAACCCTGAAGCCTTACACACCACACAAATCTATGGTGTTACAATATTTGCCTGGTAAACAGAATAAATAGTATTGAACATGATACATATTTTACATACAATCATGTATATTTATGATCAGTATATACACATCGTTATACTCCGGCATGAATGTAATACTTCATTAAAGGCATGCTCAAACAATCTCAGCCCTCATAAACCGTAGGCACAGGATCTCTGGTATTTGTCATAAGCAGAAAATAATAATAATAATAATAATAATAATAATAATATTAATACAACTTTTTTGTAGTCATATTCAGTTCTGCAAAAAAAAAAAAATTAGGCATGAGGCAAAGTTCAGCAATTTTAACTCCTTAACTGTTAGATATTAATATATTTAAGTTACAAATTCATAAAACCTTTAAGGAGGAACCAATCCGCCATTTAGATCAAAATAAGCCAAAGTATATTGAAAAATGTAAGCGAAAAACAAAAGATATATCATGAAAATTGAGTATTAATCTAGCAAATCGAAGAACTGTTCACTCAAATTTACTCTTCCTAAAGTGGTTTCAAACCTTTGAGTTTCTTTTTTTCTTTTGAACACAAAAGATGATGTTTTGAGAAATGTTGGAAAGGGGAAGTCAATGACATCTAGAGGAAATACTGCAGTGAAAGTCTTTGGCTACTGGTTTCCATCATTATATAAAATATTTTCTTTGTTCAACAGAAGAAATAAACTTATATCAGTTTGGAACAAGTGGAGTGGTGATTAAATAACTATTTTGGTGAACCATCCTTTTAAATGAACAAAAATAGTTAAGAAAATGAACAAAATACAGATATTGCTATAAGTCAAGCCTGTGAATGTAACAAGGTCCTAAAGCAAATCATAACGTGTGAGTTCCAGTTCAGAATATGACAGCTCCGAAAGCAACAGCTGCATATTGTGTTGAGTTTCCCCTTCACAACAGAGGGTATTATAGACACTTTTGGACAATTGTCCATCTCTTATGATATATTCTGTACATAGTTCATCCTAAATTAATCTTTGGCAATTTTCCTGCAAAATAAGCACAAAAAAAAACTTTAAACTCAAATATTAGCTGTAAAACATTATTAACTTAAATTCAGCAGATTATTTTACATCAATAATAATGGCTCCCGATTTGCATTCAGACCAATCTTTTAGTATATGGAGTCCTACATTAAAATACAGGGAAATCGGCATGCAGTAAGTGCTAGCTGTTGTCTGAGCTGATATTGCCTGTTGTCTTCATCTGGATCGTCTTAGGTTAATGTGTCCGTCCAGCTCTATAGCAGTTCTTCATAGAAAAGTAAATAAGCTTGAGAGTTCAGCACTCTGGACTCAGGGACAGTCTGTACAGTGGTGTCGCTGACATATACCCACTGACCTTGTGGAGCTGAACAGGCCTCTCGGGAACCTGAAAAATACAGAGATGAGAGATGAACATAAAAACATGTAGAGTGTGGTACTGGTCATCAGTGTTAGCAATAAATAAAAACATTCACAATCTTTTACTCTCTATATGCACCAGAGGTTTTCTTATAAAAACACTTTTCTGGGAAAATATTGTGCAATTCGGAGGGTGCTATACACAGGTGAGTGGCTTGACAAACTACCTGTAAGAGACACACTCTTTTCACACTGTGTGCATGTATATATGTCCATGTATATTTGTGTATGTTTAAAAAAAAACTAACTTGGAAATGGCGTCTATACATTTACCGGCCACTTTACTAGGTCACTCTTTAATGAAAATTTGTAATCAGCCAATCACATGGCAGCAACTCAATGCATTTAGGCATGTGGACATGTGGTCAAACCCAGCATCAGAATGGAGAAGAAAGGTGATTTAAGTGACTTTGAACGTGGCATGGTTGTTGGTACCAGATAGGTTGGTCTAAGTATTTCAGAAACTGCTAATCTCTATGGTTTACAGAGAATGTTCCAAAAAAGAGAAAAATCCAGTGTCAGTTCTGTGGACGCAAATGCCTTGTTGATGCCAGAGGTCAGAGGAAACTGGCCAGACTGGTTCCAGCTGATAGAAAGACAACAGTAACTCAAATAACCACTTGCTAAGACCGAGGTATGCAGAAGAGCATCTCTGAACACACAACACGCCAAACCTTGAGGCAGTTGGGCTACAGTAGCAGAAGACCACACCAGTTGCCACTCCTGTCAGTTGAGAACAGGAAACTGAGGCAACAATTCACACAGGCTCCCCAAAATTGGACAGCAGAATTTGGAAAATATTGCCTGGTCTGATGAGTCTTGATTTCTGCTGTGACATTCGAATGGTAGTGTCAGAATTTGGCATGAACAATATGTAAGCATGGATCCATCCCGCCTTGTATTAACAGGTTAGGCTGGTGGTGGTGTTGTAATGGTGCGGGGGATATTTTTTTGGCACACTTTCAGCCCATTAGTACCAATTAAGCATCATGTCAACGCCACAGCCTACTTTAGTATTGTTGTTGACCATGTCCATCCCTTTATGACCACAATGTACCCATCTTCTGATGGCTACTTCCAGCAGCATAACACGCCCTGTCATTAAACGTGAATGAATGTGTAGCTGACAAATATGCAGCATCTGCGTGATGCTATCATGTCACTATGGAGGACAAATCTCTGAGGAATATTTCCAGTACCTTATCAAATCAATGCCACGAATGATTAGGGCAGTTCTGAAGGCAAAAGGGGATCCAATCCGGTACTAGTAAGGTGTACCTAATAAAGTGGCCGATGAGTGTATATTGCTGCTTTCTGGTGATTGGAAGTGCTTTATCCTCATTTGTAAGTTACTTTGGATAAAAGTGTCTGCTAAATGTATAATTATAAAAGCATTAAGTTAAAAAAGCATATTTTTGTTAAGGAAATTTTTTTTTTAATTTAAAATGTAGTTTTACAAAATACCCATTTTAATTGAGTAGTTTTGGTCCCAAATATATATGGGTCACCATTACGCCTTTTTATGTAATTGTAAAATTATCTTTAAAGTTAAAACAGTATCATAAAAACGTCAAAAAATAAACTCATAATAAAATTAAAAATAAAAATTAACTCTGCCTTTTCCTCATCTCTCACACACCCTATAGGACTAAATTAACAAATTTACTGAAGTTATCAAATGTATCATCAAACCACTGCAACATGGAAAAATTTAGAATTTTGCTCACCTGAAGTGAAAGTTTATGCTAGAAAAATAATTGATTTAGATTAAACTTTGTAAATTTGGACATGTTTTACAAATGTTGTAATTGAACAATTACAGGTAACAATCAACCCTGCATTCAATTCAATAAAGCTCAACAATCACCACACAAACTTATTGAATTTCGCCATTTTAAACAGTCATAAAAAAGAAAACACTTAACACCAAAACACAGGCGAAATGTGGATTTTCAGCTCCTCCTCCTGTTAAAGAAGTCTTTTACGCAGACCTCAAACTTAATTATAACCTTGCAACAATTCATTTTCAATTTGCGCACAACAGTAGTTAACTACCAAAGTGTGTTCAATCGCTTCTCACAGCCCATTTACTCTTACTTCCAAACAATGCTGTAACGTAGACGCTCTCCTTGAGTAGTGAGTGAAGAAGAACACATCGATAGATCAACAAAAAACAAAACCCACTTGGCCTTTACTGAACAAGCTACTTATTCAAGGTTGCAGTGAATGCAGGTCCAATGCCATAATGAAAACAATCTTTGTTTATTCACAGGTTTTATTCAAGCCATTCAGAGCCAGCTGCAAAGAAAATGTATTGATGCATGAAATGCTGCCCATGCAGCTTTGTACCTGACTGGTTCCGGCGCTGCTCAGGTTTACGTTGAGGTGTTCGGACCTTTACATAGGCTGCATAATGCCCACCTCGCATCGATCCACTGTGCTCCACAATGCCATACAAACTGTAAAGCACACGCTCTCCTGACCCGAGGTTCTGCCAAACATAAACAACAAATCTATATTGGGAAGAACACTGTAAACTCACAAATCACAGGTCTTGAATGCTAGAACTCTGATCAGTACCTTACAAGTGGCGGAGCAAAAAGGTGCCAGGTCCAGCAAAAGAGGAAAGTCCACATGTCTATTAACTTTCCTCAGATTCATCCCAGCCTGAAAAGATGCAAACAACTCAATAAGAGCATTGGCAAAGAACGAAGCATTTTACACACTTGGTGGAAAAAAAAATTGCTATAGATTTTTTAAAATGCCCACCAGAGATCTTCTTTTTCGTCCAAGTAGACGAATGAGCATTCAATCACATTAAGCCTTACATTCACTTTTAACAGATGAGTTTAGCTTGCAAATAAACTGAAATGACAGCTAAAGTACTTAAGATGAGTGCAGATTATTAAAGACCTGGTGAAAGCGTTTGAGGTGAAGAGTGACGACTGGAGGAAGTGCAGATATGAGCATCTGTTTACGGGCACTGGTGTACACCTTCTCTGCCTTCTTATCTGAAATGTAGAAAACAAGTGATTTAGATCAGAAGGGTTAAGTGGAACTGCACTTCAGTAATAACAACTCATAATCTTTAAGGCTGTAATTTTTTTAGTACCAGAAGTAATTCTGTTAACTACTACTGAGCATGTGACCATTCAGCCTCAAAAACAAATTATGATTAGAAAACTAGGGATGCACCAAAGTGAAAATTCTTAACCAAAACCAACTTTTTTGGATGTACTTGGCTAAAAAACAAAACTGAAATACTTTATTATTATTATTTTATTAAAGGGCACCTATTTTGCCCCTTTTTTGTCAGAGTGTGCTAAATAAATCTTTGCTAGATAAACAGCACAGTGACAGACATGAAGCTGATTTCATGTAACGTTTGTGAGAAATGCTGCAGTAAGAACTTTCCCAATGATTATTTGATGCATTTGTTGTGGGGTTAATTCAAGCCTTTCTGCAACGATGAGTCACACACAGTGTTGTTACAAAGTTCACGCACACACACACAAACACACAGCGGATGCACAAACACACAGCAAGCACGTTTACCTTTGTACTGTTTTTGCACGCAAATGTGACAGGATATACGTTATCTACTGCTGTATGGATATCCGTTATGGTAATGTACTAAATAAGTCTGATGTAACAATCACACACTGGGATTGAAGCGTCTTCTTTTATAATTGTACTGACATGCGGCTGTGGTGATGAATTACAGAGATTTTACCATCTTTAACTAATATGCACTGTTTTAAAAATGTTTTAAACTTGTAATACTCATTCTTCATCACATTTGATGATGACTGATGATCACAGCTAGCTCAACAGATTTTTTAATCCCATTTGCTTTGCGCACGTCCTGTCTTGTGGATATGATTATAAGCATTACTTCAGAGACATGGTAATAAGCGGCAGTCATTCAATTCGGTGGGCGGGGAAACCGCACTCCTATGTTAAGTTGCAGTGGGCTTAAAATGGGAGGGATTTGAATCTTATTCTAATATTTTAACGTCCGAAAATAAAAATAAAAAAAGATATTTATTGTGTTTTTATCACTCTAAAATGACTGTGGACAAACTTTACATACACACAGTTCTGTCCAAATAGCTTACCACTAAACATGATTTTCATCTAGGGTGCCCTTTAAATAATATAAAGCAGTTCTGCAAGACTTTTACTGAATAACCTTAAATAAAATAACACTTAAATAAAAAGCCAATAAAAAAATCAGTTAAAAGAATTATTTTTTTTTTGCATTACCATGACAACACAGTGATGCTATTGACTATGGCTGGAGGGAGTTTTTTATCTTGTGTTTTGGCTGTTTTTCTTATTCAGTGGCTGAAAATTTGCTGCTTAGTGAAAGTTTAACAAGATTCTGAATTGTGACAACAACACAAACTATAATGAGAACAAGCATGCCTACTTTCATATAATCGTTTCGCAAATCAGAAATTAATATTCTTTTATATTTTAGATAGTCAATTCAGTTTAATGAAATAGTATCTATAAAACCTCAGCAAAATAGCATCTTCAATTATCGCACAGCTGTTTCGTCACTGAATTAAATATATCCTTATTTTTCAGATTTCTATTAAGATAATTATTTAATTAAAAAATATTTTCAAATTTCATATTGTAAGCCGCGAAAATATTATATACTATTTCTACTATGCTAATGAAGAACTACTGGGACATTCCAGTCAAACGAGGAGTCCTCCTGACGTGGTGTGAGTTCATCAAAGCTCGAATACACATCTCTGCCATTTGCTTACAGTAATCAGGTGCTTTTTACCATAGAGTTGAAATCAACAGAGACATTGATGTATTTCAATATACAATCTATTTACTATTGTTGGGTCATGGCCTGAGGAGAGTACTTCTCCCTAACTTTGTCTCTTCAACTTTGTATTCATGTTTAGCTAGTTTTGGGGATTGGTATTTTACTCATGTTTCATGATGCTTTGCTCAGGATATTATAAGGAAAGGTGACAGTTTATCGGGGAGAATGGCTTTTACTCTGTGCACAACGGTGCGTAGCCTCATTAGCTAACAAAGGCAGTTTCACTGTCTTAGAAGTTACATAGAAGTTCATATGTGACAGCTTCACTGTTTCTATAGTGTATTCATTTGTTTCATTCTACTGTCTGAATGTGTTAACATGTAACTTAATAAACAACTTCGCCTGCTTTAAAGCGCTGAGATTCAGAAGTTAGTTCAGAATAGCAGCATAAGCTTCAAGCCTTACAATATTAATTTAAATCTATACAAATAAAATAAACATAAAACTAAGTATAATAAAAGTATGGCTTAAAAGATTGTAAAATATTTTTTTTAAAAAGTCTTTGTAAATTAATACTTTTTTCATATAACATAATAACTATATTATTTTATTATTAAATATATTTTATTATTTTCTAATCAAATTTAATGTGTGCTTAAATTCACATTTTAACAGGGGAATTAATCACAGCATTATTTAATTAATTACATTAAAAACCTTAATCAACTGACAGCCCTAAGCCACATATATAGTAAAGTTTTGAAAATGTGTCGGTAATACATACCGCTCCTCTTCATCTGCCTCTGCCTCCTGTCAGTGCAGTTTTCACAGAGCAGCTTGTTGTTTCCCATAAGCAGCTCAATAGAGGTAAACTGATGAAGGCAGGACTGGACAGAGCACTCTTTTGAGCTGGGGGTGTAGCTGTGACAGAGGACTTGAAAGGCCCCTTGATGGTGTTGACGGTCTCTGTCCCGGGTCTCACTCAGCTCCTCTTGGCTGTGGCTGATGGGTAGAGTATCAGTGGATGTGTGAACCAGGCCCAGTTTGGACACAGCGCTGACAAGCTGCTCCACAGCGCCGCCCTGCTGGGGCCTAATGGAGGGTAATGGAGTGGAGCTTGGGTTCGATTTTAAACTTGGATTGTGTGTTGTTGTGGATAGAGTTGTGGTGATTGAGGTTTTATCTGATGTGCTGCTGTGACTGGACACTGATGGGATTCGGGGAGACCATTCACTTTCAGAGGCCTCGCTGTCTGCATCGTTACTGCTGTCCTGCAGGTTTGACTCTTTTTCACTGCAGTCTGACTGGCTGCCCATTGTATCAGTCCTGTAACTGGATAGGCCACGGCCAGCCACACAGAGATCCTCCTCTTGACGGCTAGAAACAGTGTCTGGGCCTCGGTCATCATGAGACGTGGACGAATGGCGGCTCTGTAGCTTCTGAAAACAGAGTCGTATAGTCAATAAAAAAAAAAAAAAATTCAACAACCTTTTAATATACTTTAAGAACTCATAACCACTTTAGGTTTCAACCGGAAACACTGCCGAGATTTTAATTGTACAATATATTTACTAAATATTAATGTAAGAAACTAATCCAAAACTAAAACATAATTCATATACTGAATGAAAATCTATTAAATCTAGCTAATTCAGCAGGTTGGTGCCTATTGAACTGCAGAAATAATGGTGTTGCCTTGGTTACTGAAGTAAACAAAGCAGCGTGATGTCACATCTAGCAGGTTTTATTGATTTCATAAACTACAGAGCATCCTGATATTTGCAGATTTAATATAAGCTAACTTTAGTATATGACCATGCATTGCATAATTAAAAATGCTATAAAATTTAGTTTTTTGCAAATTGCCATTAAGGACTTTTTAATACTTTATAAGGGCCTTAAAATTGTCTACATTGATTTATCAACTTTTAATCATTTTTGAAACCCTGCGAATAGCCTGCAAATATATGGTAACTGCAAATAGTGAAACGGGTATATTTCCTTTTGAACTCTTTATTCATTAAAAGAATCCTGAAAACAAATCCTACTATGATTGAAAAATTTGAGCTTGGACCACACAACTAATCAAGTTTTTAAATTTGGATTTATAAGGAGTCCTAGGAGGGTAAATAAATAAACAATACATTAATGTATGGTTTGTTAGCATAGAACGATGTTTGGCCAAGATACGACTATTTGAAAATATGAAATCATGAAGAATTTTAAAGAGTTTAAAAAATCTAAATATATTATAATAATTTAATCTAAATATTTAGAAATTTACCTTTATAGTTGTGTAAATTAGGCTCTTAGCTATTCATATTAGCAATGAAAAAAATGGTTTTAATATAACTACAGTAGGTAATTTATCAAATATCTTCATAAAACATGATCTTTATTTAATAATAATTTACTTTACCTAATAATAATAATTTAATAATAATAATAATATTAATTTAGTTTACCTTACTAATTTACTTAATAACTCTAATAATATTTGGCAAAATATATTTTTGGTTTTTGCCAAAAATTTGCCCATACAACAAAAGACCACAGATCACATATAGATTTTTAACAACAAATCTCTGATTTCATATTCGAAAGATCACAAAAGAATAAATTACATTATGAAGTACATTATTGGTCAAAATTTTGGGGTATGATTTTTTGTTTTAAAATAAGCTTATTCTGCTCAGCAAGGCTGCATTTATTTAATCAAAAATACAATACAAATGATACAATTGTGAAATTTTATTGCACTATTAAATAACTGTTTAAAAAAGTAGTTTCTATTTTATTTAAGAATTTATTATAGTGATTTTAATGATGAATTTTTTGCTTCATTACTTCAGTCTTCAGAGTCACATGATCTTTCAGAAATCACTCAAATATCTGGGAAAACTATTTTGTAACTTCAAAAAGCCCAGCTCACCAAATGATTCATTATAAATTAATTTTTAAAGCTTATGCTACCCCATACCTGTTATTTAAAATAAAAAGAAAATCAGAGTCTTTTTTTTCATATATGTAACAACTCTACACAAGGTACTTGTATACATATGTTCTGGGAATGTCCCCAAATTGCATTATTCTGGTCATGAGTATGGGACCTACTATCAGAGCTAATGGAAACTCAGATCCAACGCGACCCAATGCTTTTTCTCATGCTGGACGATTCATCACTCTCCTTATCCATCAACCAAAGAAGGATTTTGTCAGTTGTTCTGACTGCTGCAAAAAACAATCCTAAAAATCTGGATCCATCTGCTCTGACTGATCTATCCCGGAAGCTCTATCTACTGGACATTATTAGTTTAGAATAAACCACAGCCAAAAAAAAAAAAAATAAATAAATAAATGAATGAATAAACAAATAAATAAATAAATAAATAAAATAAAATACAAATTATTATTATTATTACTATTATTATTATTATCATTATTATTATTATTATTAATGGTATAAGTAATAAAAGCAACAATGACTGGAGTAATGATTTCATTTGAAACTATATAAAATAGGAGAGCAGTTATTTAAATTTTTAATAAATATTTAATTGATCAACATAATAATTTTCTTGAAAAAAAAATTAAAACTGACCCCAAACTTTTGACCTGTAGTGTATATTCAAAAGTAAATTCGCAACAATATTTTTCCGTATTTTACTTTTAACTGTACTTATAATTAAATAAATGCAGATAGGAAAGGAGAAGAGACTTCTTTCAGGAACACAAAAAATTTTAACTGAACACAATCAATACTGTATATTTTGTGTTTTATTAATACTCATGGCTCCGCTTACCTGTCCACTGAGCCTCCTGCTGTTTCGATTGGCCTGGGAGTGGGCAGCTAATGAGTCATCATGGGAGGTCAGACTGTCTTGTTCCCGCCCACTTTTGCCCAGTCTAGCAGGGTTTGTGGGCTTTGAAATCTGTAAAAGAAAACCAGCAAAACCTCAACAAAAGATTTCACTCAACTCAACACAGTTCATTCACAGCAAGGACATATTTTTATCATACAGGAGAGAAAATAAGAAACATACAATTGTTGAACAATAAATTAAGGCTGGTCTCACCCTTTCCTCAATGATGGGAAGAGAAATGTCAATAAAGGCTTCCTTCACTGTAGAAATCTATAAGTGAAGAACATAAACATGAGAACACAACCATAACACAGTTGAATTAAAAGAGTATTTTTCACTATGAGTTGACTAATTATTAATTTTATAATTGCATTTTATATAAACAATTAAATGAGATGTTTTAGATGGACATGTATGAATGTTAAAATACATCTGAAACTATAGTAAACATCTGAAAATATTTTTAAATATAATACAGGGATCTAAGATGTGAAAGGTTTTGAACATAGGTCTCAAACTCAATTCCTGGAGGGCCACACCTCTGCACAGCTATGCTTCAACCCTAATCAAACACAGCTGATAGGGCATAGTATAAGTACACAAATTGGGACACAGCATCCTAGTTTTGAACACCTTGATTAGTTGGTTTAGATGTGTTTGATTAGGATTGAAGCAAAACTGTGCAGAGCTGCGGCCCTCCAGGAATCCAGTTTCAGACCCATGGTTTTGAAGCATCAAAGCCAAAAAGAAGTGTAATGTAGACTTTCTTTTTTAGCTATGCAATGAAACTTTTGAGCTAAAAAGACTGATCATAGATAACACAAATGATCAGGAATTTAAAAAACGTACATGCTCACACTCTTCACACATTATGGTGCTGGTCAGCTCTCCGACAAAGATTCGATCAACAAAATTTAATTTCACTCCTTCTTTTCCATAAGCTGTAAAGCATAAAAATATCTAATTAATATAAACACCATAAAACAGATACTAGTAAGCAGAACGCAATTAACAGATCATTTTTCAAATTCTGATTTAACGCATAACTATTTCTAGAAGGTAAAGAAAGCAAGCGGTCACTAGATGGCACTATTGTTTTGAGTGATGTGACGGAAGCAGAGCTGAATCACCCTTCACTTGTCGTTTGGTCTCCTCGTCTGCAGTCTTCTCTGTGGGGTTGTTAAAGGCTTTAAGGATCCCCGCTTTAATGCGCTGTCAGTGAAAACACAATGGCATGCCACTTGGTTAGATAATAAAGTGGTCACAAAAAGCTCCATTTATCATCACATTCAAAATAAAAGGAGCACAGTAAAAGACTTCCGTCTTTAAAGTGAAACACTGCAGACCAAAACTGTTTTCAAGTTTTTCTATCTATTAGAATTATCATAAAAACACATTATAAGTTTATTTTAATGACACTTTATCTATTTGTAAAAGAACATTTCAATTATACATTTTTTAAGGGATTTCTTTTATTGGACTGCACCATATATCTTGACTTCAGCAGCACTTTATTCATATCAATATTCTGAAAGCTTTTACAGACAGAGATGTTCATGCATACATTGATTATCTACATTTTATTACATCAGTTTGCAGTATTTTCTGAATTACAGAATCCACAATATTTAAAATTGCGATAAAATTTGTCAAAAACAATGATAAGCTCTGCACTTTTTTACTCTATTTTGATCTTAAAGCCAATCACACAGCAGAAATGTGCAACAATGAGAATTTCAAGTGTGTTGATATTAGATTAAATAAATTTTCAGCCACCATTTAATGGACCCTCTCATTTTTGTGGCTTCATTCATTGTTGGGGACTTATATAAAAATATCTATCGATATAGTTCAATATGGAAGATTAATACTGTGATTGTTTGCCATATTGCTCTATTACAGCATCCATGAACTTTGAATGTTACTTCATCCGTGGTTCAGATTTGCAAATGAAAATTTGTTCATATTTATAAAAAAATAATGGCCATTTGCATATTTAAACATAACATTACAGGAAGCCTGTAATACAATATCCCCAATTCTTCATACAATTAATCAACTAGGAGAGTACACTGATAACTGTTAGTTTATTTTTGTTACCACGTTTAAATGCAGTGTCTTGATGTATGTTTTTTGATTTTCTAAAAGAAAAATTCATATATAACTTGCATAATCTCTTATCCAGAAAGAGACTTGCAGATCTTGCATATGCTTTGTATTTTCTTCCCTTTAATAACAACAATTATAAATGGTAAAAGATGAGGAGCTACAAATCCTTTAGAAGATAAGAAGAGATTTAGACACATAATATTACTTTTAAAATGAAATTTGAAGAAAAATCTGCACAAATTGGTAAAATATACACTCTCAGAAAAAAGGCACAGAGTGGTAAAAATAATGTTCCTTAAGGAACGGTTTTGGAACTTTGTAAAAGTTGTGCCTTATGCTATAGAAAAGAGCTCTGACATGATACTGTTCTGTACCTTTTATGGTATTGAAATGAAGATACACAATTGTTCTCATATAAAAGGTACATACGTGTTAGACAACTCCTCTATTACAATATATATGAAAATAATTTTGACTGGAAATGCAAAGTGATTTTATGAATAATTTCCATATTAAAACACAAATCATCATTTAAAAGCATATGCATAAAAAACTCATAAACATTAATTATTCAGTTCTTTAATACAAAACACCTGGTACAACAGAACTATAGGTATTGTAAACTAAATATTTAAGGCATTTTAATAAACGTTTGGTAAGCATTTTCTGATAAATACATTTTAATTTCATTAAAGCCCCGCATATGCAAAGTGTTCATGCTGACATTTCAGTATTGTAAAACTAATCACACATTGTGCAAATCTCGTTACAATACTTTTGCAAAACTCTTTTTCTATTTTAAAATTCAGTAAATTAAATTAACTTCTAAGTCATTACAAAGGTATTGTGATAAACTTGGAGAAAAAGGTATTATATTGTAGATAGGGAAATGCATTTCTGTACCATTTTTGTATAAAGTGTTTTGAAATGTTTAGCAAAAAACAAATCTTTTGGTTTATGTTAAAGTATTGTTTTATTCGTTATTGTAAATGTAAAAGGTGCATTTACACAAAAATAAACTTTTCTAAAAACATTGTTAAAAATGTATTTGATGTTTTATATTTACTGAAAATAAATCAATGCAATTTGAATGGAACAAAATGCCTTTAAATAGTTCTTAAAGGAACACATTTGACACTGTTAAGGTACAAAGTGTCTTGTCACTGTAGTGGTACCTTCATGAATCAGATTTGTACCTTTGATGAAGGTACAAGGTTGTATCTGCAGGTTTTAAAAACCAAAGGTACATTTTGGTTACCCATGGTACAAATCATGTGGTTAAAGGTACAAACTGCATTTGTACAATGTAGTTTCTTTGTCTTAAGGTGCAATAAAAAGGTACTGCCTCAGTGACAAGGGTTTCTTTGGTACAACATTGTACCATTTATTTGAGAGTGTACTCAATTTACTACAAATTAGAAAAAAGTATTCAGTCTGTGTTTTTAATGAAAAAGATTTTCCATGACAAATATAGTGTGCACTGTATCAATACATTCTTCAAATGTAGGTGACTCAAATTAGATTAACTTTTAGTGATTACTTTTTTACTAGCTGCCAAAAGAATATTATTATTATTATATTAAATCTTTATTAATCCATCCATCTAAATGACGTTAAAGCAACCTCTACTTGAAAAATTCAGTCTGAATTTTAATCACTTTTCGGTATGGTGTAAATTTCTGAGAATCCCCAAAAAAAAGCTGTACTTAAAGTGGTCGTTAACCCAAAAATTACAATTCTGTCAACATTTCACTCAACCTCGAGTAGCTCAAAACCTTTAAGTTTCTTTATTTAACTGACCACAAAAGAACATAAAAATACAGGAAATGGGTCACCATTGACATCCAAAGTAGAAAAAAAAACATTTTTCAAAAAATCTTCTTTTGTGTTCAACAGAAGAATGAAACTCAAGCCGGTTTGTGCCAGTTGAAGTTTGAGTAAAATGATGACAGTTTTCATTTTTGGGCAAACTATGCCTTAAACATAAACAAACAAAAATAAGTCAACCATTTTTCTCCCCCGCCATCAAAATGGTTTACCCTTGGACAAGCTCTTCTTATATTCTTCCATCAATTTTTTATTGTGGTAAATAAACCAAAGCAAACGCAAGGCCAGGCACATGTGTACAAGGTTGAAAAGTAAATGTGTGCTTCACATATTTGACGCAGCATTGTATATGCCATGTATGTGTGGGCTCACAGACGAGTGTCCCAGTGGCCGTAATGAGAGGTGACAGAAGACACAGCAACAGTAAAGCACCAATCAATAGATAATTGGCCGTGGTGGCCTAGTCTCCCCCATTGTCCTGTCCCCACGCTCGGGACGGCCTATTTAGGTCAAAAGCCTGGTTAATCCCTCTCCTTCAACCACTCAAACCCCCCAAAACCCCCCGTCTGTGTCGGACCCTGCTGCAACACACACTAATTAAACACACAAACACACACAGCCTAAAATAACTAGGCCACCACACTCTCTTCAGAAGTTGAGCTCACTTGAGCGCCCCATTCGCAGCACTTTTATTCAGCGGCTAATTGGTGATAATTCATTTATGTTAATTAGCATATTGTGAGCAGTGATCCTATTGGCTGGTGAACATAAATATTGTTGTGTCTGTTTAGTGATTCGCTTAAGGGGCCTCAGCTCTGTTACAACATTGAAAAGAGATGTAGCATTTTGAAGCGTGCTTTTATTAAATGGATTTCGTTTGTACCGTTGACAATCAGAGATTAGGCCTTTTAGAACATTTAATCAGTATATAAAAAATCTATTTATATTCAGTGCTCAGCATAATTGAGTACACCCTATTTTGAAAATGAATATTTTTATCAATTTCTCAGCAAAAATAGGCAATGTAACAAAACTGACATATTAAACAGATATATTTATTAAACAAAATATTTTAGTCACCAAACATATTTAGAAAGTGAAAGATAATACAATTAAATTCAAGCAAAACATTACAAAAAATTACAACCTACTAAATAAAAAAAAACTAATTCCATTTTTTTTCCTTCTCTTGATTTTTTGTCGTAAATTTATATTTTATATTTCTCTATAACATAAATTTGGGTGTACTAGTTATTGTAATTATTGTAAGTCATTTTGTTAGATAAGCTCCAGATTTGGCTTCAGTATTGACTAATGTGTGTGCTTTTTATCAGAAAAATTAGTACACCCCTCATAGATATCTCTTTTAAATTAAAATTTCTTAAAGGATGCTGTACAATAATATATTTGTGCATATTCATATACATTAGTGTAATCAGTACCAAAGCCAAAACCGGAACTAATCTAAAAAAAATTAAATTTAAAAATTAAAAAAAAAAAACGTAAGATCACAGTCCAAAAATTAGCACACCCAAATTAATGTTGGGGGGAAATACTAAATAAACTTTTTATAAACAGCAAATATTAAGAAAATCACATTTAGTTGAATTGTTTTTTGCAATAACTTGTTTACATGTATTATCTTTCTATTCCTAAAGATGCTGGATGACTCATAAACTCTCGTTTTAATGAGTATGATTGTTTAATTAATAAAACTGTTTTGTTTAAATGCTCAAAAACATTGTCTATATTGTCTATATTCATAGAGAAATGAAGATTTTTTTAAAAAGGTGTACCCATTCAAGCTGAGCACTACCTATGTTTATATATGTGTGTGTGTACACAATGATATAAGATTTATTATATACCTAGATTTATTAGGTATTGGTTTGAGCAAAAAGCTAATATCTGTTTTATTCCATGGTCTGATTACATTTATTTCAATTTTTAAATAAAAAATGTTTATTTTTTTCTGCTTTGTCAGAATAACAAATGTTTTATATCTTCATTTGCTGGGATTTGAGTCTGATAAAAATACATAAAATGTATAAACGTTGGTAAAAAAAAAAAAAAAAAAAAAAAAAGATGATGCATTAAGATAATGCATCCTTGCTAAATAAAAGTATTAATTTATTTCATAAACATGCTGACATACCTTTGAATTACTACTAGTAATACTACTAAAGTACATATAGTTTTATAACAAAATTTTAAAAATACTTTATTATTTTGGTAATTACTTTTCAATTCATTAAAATGTTCACACTGCAGGTGAG